AAACTTGTTCTTTACTTCTTCAGATGTGTTTCATACTGGTTTTCTTTTTAAGGCCATTTAATGAATTATATGCCAAAGGATGCTATTTGATGTAGTAAATAATTATTTGCTATCCACAATGATCAAGAGTTCCTCTATTACGGTACTTAAACAGTTTTCATGACTCCTGCTGACCTAAATTCTATTTAGAAGCTCAAAATGAAATCCTCAGGGTTAATACATTTTTTTTTTTTTTTTTTATCCTCACCCAGGACATTTTTCCATTTTTTGTTCAGGTAGAGTGGGGGGCGGGGAGAGAGGAACAGACAGAGAGAGAGAAACATCGATGTGAAATGAACACATCAAGTGGCTGCCACCCGCACGACCGACCAGGGCCGGGGACAAACTGCAACCGAGGTACACGCCCTTAGCGGGAACCGAACCCGGGTCTCTCAGGACCGCAGGCCGATGCTCTAACCGCTGAGCCAAACCGGCCAGGGCAGGTTAATACATATTTTTGAAGAACTTTGTAAATCAATAACAACGACGACAAAAAAAGTAATTGTTTCGAAGAATTTTGAACCTTTGTATAGCATATATATTTTTGAGTACTGTAGAATATTCTTTTTTCCATGCTTATTGGAAAAAATACAGATGTTGTTATATTTGCTCAAGTATTACAGTAGTTCAAAAAATAGGTTTACTTTTGTAATGTGATATTGGTTGATTTGCTTGTTGGTGGACTCTTGCCATGGCTTTGGGTTCCTGGTTTTGAGGACTCAGGGATGTTTTATGTAGTTATGTCTACACACTCCCTAATAGAGTCCATCATAATGTGATAGGGAATAAGGTATTTTGTTACAGTAGTGTGACCATATATTCTTTGTCTAAACTGGGGCACTTGATCATAAAATGAGGTGTAAAATAACTTAAATTTCTAATTGCTATAAAATAATGTTACCAAACAAAATAAATAATTGTGGATTTACACAATAAAGTGAATAAATAAATGACATGACTCCTGTTGCATGAGTGTTCAGATTACTCTCTTTGACCATTACGCACAGGAACATATAATGTCTCTTTCCTGCATGTATTTCACAAACTCTATTCACATTTTCCACTGATTCAGCTGATGGTGGTGGCCTTGCAAGCTGAGGAATGGCTAGAACTCAGAGAGCAGGTACACCAAGTGACTGGCAGGGGTAGCAGCGTCAAATATTTCTCCTATCAGCACCCAGGACTGGATCGAGGTAGCTACCCCTAGTTGCCATTGTGCAAGTGTACTTCATTTTATCAGGAAAGAGAGAGAGATTATCAGTGGTTGGCTTTCAGATGGAACCTAGAAGTTAAAGTGAGAAATCTGTTCACTGCACCTGCATTCCACACAGTACTAGATAAAGGCATGGCAGAAGGTGGAAATATAAAATAAATGTATAATAAATTCATCTTATCTTACTTTAATGCAGTTATTCATAATAATTGGTTAAAAATGAAAACTATTAGACAAATGTTAAGCTGGGTAGGATGTGGGAATAATAAATGTAAATTAGAACAGTCCTGGGAAAACGGGGCCATATGGCCACTCCAACTATATAGAGTACATATTGTCCTGTTTTGGATCTTGATTTCTCTATTGACATGTATTTAAAATTTGGCTAAAATTAGAGAACCCAGAAATTGACCCAAGACAATATGCTCAATTAATATTTGACAAAGGTGGAAAGAGCATACAGTGGAGTCAAGACAGCTTCTTTAATAAATGATGTTGGGAAAATTGGACAGCTACATGCAAAAAAATGAAGCTAGACCACCAACTTACATCATACACAAGAATAAACTCAAAATGGATAAAAGACTTAAATGTGACTCATGATTCTATAAAAACCCTAGAAGAAAATGTAGGCAACAAAATTTCATACGCTGCAGAATTTTCATTGATGCATCACCTAAGGCAACAGAAACAAAGGAAAAAATGAACACATGGGACTACATCAAACTCAAAAGCTTCTGCATAGCAAAAGAAACAACTATCAAAATGGAAAGGGAACCCACTATACGGGAGAGCATAATTGCCAATGATACATCAGATAAGGGGTTAATTTCCAAAATATATGGAGTAGTCACACAACTCAACAAAAGGAAGACAACCCAATTAAAAAATGGGCAGAGGACTTAAAGAGACACCTCTCCAAACAGGACATACAAATGGCCAAGAGACATATGAAAAAATGCTCAACATCACTAATCATCGGAGAGATGCAAAGTAAAACAATAATGAGGTATCACTTCACACCTGTCAGAGTGGCCACCATCAACAAATCATCAAACAAGTGTTGGCAAGGGTGTGGAGAAAAGGGAACTCTAGTACACTGCTGGTGGGAACGCAGACTGGTGCAGCCACTGTGGAAAACACTGGTGTTATCTCAAAAAATTAAAAAGTGAATTGTCATTTGACTCAGTGATCCCACTTCTAGGAATACCATAAGAAACCTGAAACACCAATCAGAAAGAATATATGTACCCCTGTGTTCATAGCAGCACTATTTACAATAGCTAAGATATGGAAACAGCTCAGTTACCCATCAGTAGATGAGTGGATAAAAATGCTGTGGTACATATACACAATGGAGTACTATGCAGCTGTAAGAAAGAAAGATCTCTTATCCTTTGAGATGACATGGAGGGACCTGGAAAGTATTATTCTAAGCGAAACAAGCCAAGCAGAGAAAGACAAATATCACAAGATCTCACTTATTTCTGGAATATAATGGACTAAACAAATTGATGAACAAAATAGACCCAGAGACATAGAAGTAGGGTACAGACTGACATTCCTCAGAAGAGGGTATGGGGAGGGATAAACCACAGAACTTATATGCATGTATGCATAACTGATGGACATAGACAACAAAACTGGGGACGGGGTGGGAGGGGATAGGGAGGAGTCAATGTGGGGAAAAAGGAGAAACATCTGTAACAAAAATAAATTAATAAAAAAAGGGGGGGGGACGGCTTTCATAAGAAATAAAGTATCTCTCCCATTCCAAAAAAAATTAAAAATAAAATAGATAAAATTTGGCTAAAATTCAAGCCTAATGTGCATACAATATACTAATTTTCTCTGAATTAATAACTATGTTAAGAGAGTTAATATAAAATTCTTAAAAACTGTGTGTCAAATTACTTATTTTATAAAAGTTGAGAACCTGCAATGTTTGAAATTAACCTTAAGGAAAAATAAGTATGCATTTATTTGTTTTTTGTTTTGTTTTTTTTATCCTCACCCGAGAATATTTTTCCGTTTTTTTGTAGAGATAGAATGGGAGGGAGAAAGAGGAAGGGAGAGAGAGTGAGAAACATCGACGTGAAGGGACACATCGAGTGGCTGCCACCCGCACGACCAACCAGGGCCGGGGACAAACTGCAACTGAAGTACATGCCCTTAGCGGGGAACCGAACCCGGGTCTCTCCGGACCGCAGGCCAACGCTCTAACCGCTGAGCCAAACCGGCCAGGGCATAAGTATGCATTTATATTTTAATCTCTAAATCTGAAGAATCAGTGTAATGTATGCCTTAAGATCACGGAGAGCTAAGCATGATCATAGTAATTTTATACAATTTTACCCTAATTCTTAAATATTTTTGTTATCTACGGCCAAGGAAAGCAGAATCATTAACTTGTTATTAATTCAGAACCTGTCATGGATATAGTATTTAAAATTTTTCACTTTAGGTGGTATTAGAAAAATTTTCAGAAAGACGTGTGTGATACTAATTTCTTGCTCAGTAGTTTGTGGGTCAGTTCAGCAGTGCTGAGCTCCACTACTCTTATCCTTCTCTTGAGACCAGTAGGCCCATGGAGATGGCAGGAGCACAGAAGACAAGTGGGAACATTAAGGTGGCTTATGGCTCGGCACTTCTGCCCTCATTACATTGGCTAAAACAACTCAACTTGAGTAACTGAGCAAGGATAAAATGCAAATAACAGGACAAACTGCAAAGTCACATGACAAAAGGCAGGATATAGGGACTAGTAACAAAGTAGGGCCAATCATATAGTTGGTTACATATAGAAAATTACAAACTTGTACAAGTAAAGCAAAGAGTACACTGTCCCTATCAGTCATGCAGCTCAACAGTTATAAACACATGGTCAGTCTTCCTTCGTATGTTTACTTAGTGCCTCACAGTAAGGGTTACATATGCCTGGTCTCTAATTTTGTATGTTAAGATTGATCAGTTGATTCAGATATTGCCATCTTATCCATTATCAAGTTTCTCATCAGTCTTTCACCTGATGATTTTAATAGTTAGTGCCTAGTTCAGTGCTTCTCACAGGTCTGCAGTAAAAAAAACCATCTAAAATTTTTTCAATCTAGTGAGGATTGCTATTTTTGTAAAATAAAATAAATTTTTAGACAAGTGAAATTTAAAAATTGAAGGCACAAAAAAATAAAAGCCCCTATTTTTTATTGTAGGTTCAACAGAAAATTGCTCTGTCAACTTGTAATACAAGTTTAATACTTATATTAAAATTATAAAAAATTTGTGTACTTATATAAAATTTGTGTACTTTTCTTATTATGAACTAGTAACAAACAGTTTGCAGATCATCATTGGTTCTTTTGTGAACCACAGTAGCCGAGGTCCATTATTTTATTAGGGATTGCAAAATGGTGATATTCTAATTCTATTCTTTTTGTAATTCTTCTATAAAGAATTTCCTCTCGTTAACTGTATAGTTACTTGTGGTAGAGTTCCTACTGGAAAGGCAGAATGCATGCTTAATTTCTTCCCATTAAGTTCACTAATTTTGTTAATAGTTTTTCAAGTTTTATTGGTTCATTATTGTTTTCAACAGTGTGTAGTTGCTACAACAATATAAAGGGCCACATACAGAAAGGCCACTAGGTTTGTGAAGTATAATAGTAGAGTCTTGAAAAAATGGACAATGTATTAAATACCTGTGAAATAGTGACATTTTACACATTACAATATTTTTAAACAAAAGAATGTAGTGCTTGCTTCTACTGCACATGTATTAAAATTAGGATATAAAGAAGATTAGCCTGGCTCCTGCATAAGGATAACATGCAAATTTGTGAAGCGTTCCATATTTTTAAAAGAAATAAAAAAATATATAGGTCTCTTCTAAGCTAAAATGACTTCTTAAAAGTATTTTAGGGCCTGGCTGATATGGCTCAGTGATTGAGCATCGACCTGTGCACTAAGAGGTCACCGGTTCAATTCCAAGTCAGGGCTCGTGCCTAGGTTGTGGGCCAAATCCCCAGTGAGGGACATGCAGGAGGCGGCCAGTTGATGTTCTCTCATGAATGTTTCTATCGTTCTCTCCGTCTCCCTCTCTTTCTCTCTCTCTCTAAAAAAATCAATAAAGAAAAAAATTTGTTTTTAAGTGTTTTAGGCATAGTGATTAAATATGAGAGGCAAAATTGAGTCTGTTAGAAACTCATTATATTTAGGAAGAGATAACTCTGATTATCTTTCATCTCTGCATGAAAAATGCCATCTTTAGTATACTCATACTATAGAGGGATGAATTGAAGAGAGGCTGTGAATTTTGGTCCTTTTTCATGTTAACAAGCTACACACATCTGCACATTCGAAGTCACTTTCCAAAGATTTTTTTGTTAAAGGATGGCTCTCAGCTCTCAGTCACAATAGGAATCCAGAGTCAATTGGGAAAACTAAAGGTCATTGTAAAGAAAAAACCAGTGAGGTAACTGAACAGAGATAATCAGAGTGAACATAGTTCAAAACTTTTCCTTCTAGTATTTTAATAGTTTGACAGTAGTTTTACTACCAAGTGGTGTGTGTGTGTGTGTGTGTGTGTGTGTGTGTGTGTGTGTACACTGCCAACTTTTAGAAATAAACAGGTTGATTTGGGCAAATTGATAGTGGTTTAGATTTATCTAGAGAGAACCTTGTTACTCAGTTGGCCAGTGCTCACCATTGAATGGAAAAACTGCAATAATAAAACATTTAAGGATTTAAAAATCATGTAAAGAGTAGTATACTTTGATTTTAGCCAATGTTGCCAAATTTTCTTATTTAATTTAGAACTGGCTACATAAATATACTTCATCAACCACATAACATTGCCATAACTTTCTGGCAAGACCTCTTTTAGGATAATTGAAATCCAAGAGTAAAGTAAGTATTGATGTCAAAAGGTTTAAATATTGGTATTAGAAATTGAGACATTGGACTAAATTTTTATTTTCCTTCAAGTTAGAAGAGAAAAATGTAGGGTTGTGGTTTTATTTTCTTACCCAGCATTTATCTGTATAAATTAAATCCATTAGAACTGTATTCAGTTTATCTGAGAAAATGGAATTCCTCAATGACTTCCATGATTAGGGTTTGTGAGTGGGGATCTGGCTGTCTTTAAGTGGGTGCTAGAAGTATCATTTGAGTCTAGGCAGACTGCTTTTTAATTCTTTAATTTAGATAGTAAATTCAGACTGTGTTCATTATGCTCTGGAATGGTGCCTACTTGAACTTGAAAAGGACTGTTGGCACCTTATAGATTAGATAAGGGTAGAGAAGGATTTCGAATGACTGGGAAGAATAAAGAGCCATAGTTAGTTATTCAGAATAAAGTGAAGTTCTAATCAGAAGTAAAATTGATCCAGTAAAGGAGAACAAATAATTAAACTAGAAATAATATGGAGATGATGGTGCATTGGTCCTATATGACATAGAAACAAAGCAGGAGTAATGGATACCTACCAGCTTGAAATCTCATTAGGGAAAGAATTTTCTTAATGTATGACATCAACAAACAGAGCAGTAAAGGGCTAAGACAACACTATGTCAATAGGGACTTGTATTTCCCAAACCTATTGAACACTGAAAAAAAAGTAGTTTATTGAAGGAATTTCAATAGAAGCCTATTTGATTGAAGGAGATAGAGAAAAATAAACTCAGATGAATTGAGTAATCAAATTTTTTATTTATAATGTTAATATCTACAAGTGTGTTGAAATTATAAGACGAATGGAGCAAAAGCCAGCGATCATAATTTTGGCAACATGTTCGTGGTTGGTAAGCATTGCTTATACAACTAAATGTATATCTAGTATTGTGTATTATTACATCAGGGGATGTCTCATGACTTCTAGATTTTTCTTAGATACAGCGCCATTTTCTGAAGGCATTTTACACGCTTGTTACATAAAGTGAACAACTGCATAACTCTCACCTGTATGCAATAATGCACCTAGAATTTTAGATAGATATTAAGAGACTTATTTAGACCGTTTTAGAATCACATACCACTTACAGATAAAGGATATCTATCTATATGAAATAAATTAGTTTTGATATTTCTAAGCCTCCTTTATGTTTAGTCTGACTCTTCTAAATTACTTTTTGACTTCAGTTGTCCAGGTCCTGTTTTTCTATACATATTATGTGCCGGCAGGAATTTTGATAATTCAGCATTTCTTGAGATTGCCCAGTTACTTCTGGGATTTTTTTTTCCAGACCATTGACAACTTACTCTGCAAGTTTTGAAGCTAGCACTTCCTTGATCTTTCCTGAAGATGTCAATGGAAGTGTTTCAGGTAATAACCAAAACTGAATCCTTATTCAAATGGTTTTTAAACATTTTGCTGACTGAAATAAATGTTAAGGGGTTGCATTTGTCATACCACTAGGAATGACAAACCACTACACTTTCCAGGGATCTTACTCAAGTGTTCATAGAATACATAGAAGAATGACATATCCTGAGTTATATAAGGCTCCACTTTAGATAACTTTCAGCCAAGTTCACCTGTATTTCTTTCTCTGAATCCTTGGGTCATCTTTCTATTCTAAGGGAAATTTTCTGAGAGTCTCTGGGAATCTCTTTTCCGTAAGGGATTTTATGTCAAATTGTACATAACTGACCATGGCAGTGACAGTTGTATTTTTGGACTAATGTAAATTTTAAGATTCAGTGTGATTTCAGAGATGTCCGTCTTTCAGTGGGTATGTTTTAGATTCATTTGTCCATGTTGGGATTTTTCAGCCAGAGAGGACAGCATACCACTCTTGCAGCATGGAGACTTTAAAGAGCATGTCCTGGCTGGTTTGGCTCAGTGGTTGGAGGAGCATCGGCCTGCGGACCAGAGTGTCCTGGGTTTGGTTCCCACTAAGTGCACGTACCAAAAAAATAAAATAAAATAAAGAGCAGTTAGGCTAAAGAGTAAGTCAAGGCCTCATAGGGCTTGGAAAGTATTTTGGACTTTATTGAACTTTATTATAAGGGGAAGTAGCTGTAAGGTTTTAAGCAGTGGGAAGACTTATATCAGATTTTTTTCTTTTAAGCACACAGGCATGTTAACCAAGCAATCAAAGTTAGTATCACCAATAGTGGAACAAAATAACATTTTTCCGTGTGGTCATATCAGATCAGGAGGATGCATGATAATATCACCAATATAAAACTGTTGCCAAAATATGTTTATCTGTAATCTCATGAGGCAACAAATAAGTCCTGGTTGTGGGACATTCTACAAAAAAGCTGAACCTTAAGTGTCAGTGTCCTTAAAGTCCATTAAAAAATGAGGTAAATAGTTCTAGATCAAAGGAGACAGGGACATGACAATGTGTATGCAAAGTATGTGGTTCTTGATAGAATTCTGGAGTTTTAAAAAAAGCCATAAAGGATATTATTTGTAACATTTTGGGAAATGTTTGTAGATACTATAGGTGTTAAATTTCTTGGGTGTAGTAATGATATTGTAGTTATGTAGGAGAATGTCCCTGTTTGTAGGAGGTGCATGCTGAAATGTTTCTGGGGAATGAAATATCTACAGTTTACTCTCCAGTAGTTGGGGGGGAGGGGGTATATATAGATAAAAATAAGCAAAGGTGGCAAAATGTTCCTAATTGTTGAATTGAGGGGGAGGGCAGTGTTCATTGTACCATACTTGGAACATTCTCTAGTTTTAAAATATTTCAAAATAGAGAGGAAGGTAAATCAAGCATATGATAAGGACAAGAGCTAGAGAGAATCTTAACTCTTTGATTTAACCCTATAGTTTTAGGCTCAGACTTCATTTCACATTGGATGTGAGATGATCTCTTATGAAAAACCTTCTGGGAAGTTGGCACCTCTAAAATTTTTGAGGTTTCAGATAACTTTGTGAAGAAGATGTGTGCATTTTATCCAAAATATTCAAAGGCTTATTTTCTTTAAAGCTCAATAATTGTTAAGAGTATGTTTGGGATTAGTTATTCTGGGTTCATAGTCTAATTTTGATTCATGTTCTTTCATGCCTTGTATAATATCTTTTAGTTCATGTAAAAGGAATGCACTCCAGTTTTGATCAGTCTGTATGTCTGTCTTGTTCTCTTGTTGAGATGTTACTCTATTCCTTATTCTTTGTTTTTTACTTTTAGTAACTTTGTATGGTATTCAATTTCTGTAATTTTTGTTTCTCTTGTATATGAATTTAATATTCCCAAATTTTTAGAAGGAATTTTGGTTTAGATAACTTTAAATTTTTTTTTTTCTTTATTGATTTTAGAGAGAGAGCGAGAGAGAGAAACATTGATGAGAGAGAACATTGATTGGCCGCCTCCTACATGCCCCCCACCGGGGATTTGGCCCACAATCTGGGCATGTGCCCTGACCAGGAATTGAACTGGTGACCTCTTGATGCATGGGTCAGTGCTCAACCTATGAGCCACACCGGCCAGGCCAGATAACTTTTATAACTTTATAGAGCTCCTTCTTCTGTTAACATTATAGCAGCTTTTTTTCTGAGGATTCCTGGCTCGGATCCCTCTCCTCCTCTCTTCTCTGTAGTCTGGCCCTTCTATATTTTCCTTCTCTCTTGTCCTTATCCTACTTAGTTTTGATTTTGCTCCCAGCAGTTTCTCCTCATTGTGAGCCCTGTCTTGGAAGGGAGCCCTAGCCTTTTAGTTTTGAAGGCTCATGGGGATTTAACCCTTGATTCCATACCCTTAGGCCTTACCTTGGGTCTCTTGCCGCCCGTACATCATTGAAGTAGGCACACCTCTTCCCAGTGCAGTTGCTGTTCTCCATTTGGCCCTGCGCTTTCTAGCTAGTACCCATTGGCAACTTTGGAATTTTCCCGTTCTCAAGT